AAAACCCCAACCTCAACCCCATAGACCCGCACTCCCATAGAAAAACCCATATTCCCTAACCCTTGAAAATGGAAATGGTATTCTCTAATAATTTATCGATAACAGGAATAAGGTTTAGGAATAGGGTTGATTCGAGAAGCGCACGCCGATGCTCACGGTCTGTTTGGCGCGGTTGCACACTGCTGCTGATTCCAGTGAAACACGACCTTGGTCACGCACCTTCTTTCAGGAAGATGCTGGATAGGTTCCAAGCCAAAGGAGCTTGCCGCAAAATCTCCACCTCAGACTCGCTGAGGTCTTGTGACTCTGACTGGCAATCTTCTCCACCGTTTGGCACCCTGCCTAGGTGTCGGTGCCTGAGAATTCGGCATGCTCGCGTCCTCAAGCTGAACCAATGCACGACTCCCCTGACAGACACCTTGATGTATTTCTCTGTGCCATCAACGCACCAATCAGGGCTTCCACGAAGGTCAACACGCACTGTCGCCACGTCCGCAAGCTTCTTGACCTCTTCCATGACGTCGTTCTTCTTGATGCAGTTGTATTCTGCATCTTTGGAATTGCCGTCCCGTCCTATCAGCTGAAGCTTCTTTGCCTCTCCGTAGTCGAACTCAACCTTCTTCAAGTCTTCAGCTGCCTGCTTCAACTCATCGGGATACTTTTGCTTGTAGATGGTAATGAAGTCCCCGATGCTGCACTTGCTGCCCTCAACCTTCAGGCCATGCTCCGCGCCCGCTGTGGCAACAAAAGACTGCACTGCTTTCGCAGAATTAACCCCACGGCAAAGGATATATGCATCGTAGGGCTCCTTATTGGTGACCGGTTTCGGGAAGTCTTTGGGGAACTTCTTCACGGGCAAAAAAGCGACCATGCTGGTGGCGGCGTCTTTTGGCTGGTTGTTGTGGTCATACTCTTCATGAAGCTGTTTGAACAAATGCCAACAACTGGGCGCGCCTTGCAAGCAGTCTTTCGAAACCCATGCAGATACAGCATCCTTCTCGTAGGCTTTGTAAGACTGCAGCAAGGCTTCTGACCAGACATCTCGCAGCGCTTCCGAAGCAGGAGCTCCAGCATGCGCCAGGTCGCACCCAGTCAGTCCTCCCAACGGTTGCTTTTTAGCGTCGCTGCATGCTGCAGAGTTAAACTCACTTCGCCCAGGGGTATGCGGAACCGATGACGCAGCAGGCTTCTTCTTCGCGCCTTTGGCCTTCATCGGCTGTGTCTTGTCCATGGCTTTTGCCTTCGCCTTTTTCATCGCCGATTTTGCAACCTTCTTTGGCGACATGGCTGGAACGCAAGTGTTTTCGTGCAACAAAGCAATCCCAACAAAACAATGCTACAAGTGAGAGGGTTCAGGGTTCATTCTGCAGGAGATGTGAAGATTGCTGATCAAGGCTGCTCGGAATGACTTTTCGTAAATGTCAAGCGATGCACGTATTTACATCGTCAGAACCTGTTCGAACCTAGCAACCACAAAATCGCAATCATACTTCATGCCTTTGAGCAACAAGCACCCTCTGCATATGGCTTCAAGCTTCAGCGACAAATGCTATGCCATGCGGTGCTATTCCCCAAATCAAAACTTTGCCTCGTTTCTTCAGCTAATTTCCAAAAGCACTACCCAAAACCTGTCAAATCACGTGAAAACTGCTATCATGAAGTAATGCTGTTTTAAATCCATGTCGCCTTTGTGTTTCCACTTTTGTGTTTTATGTAACATGCCGTCTTTCATAGTCTCATAAAGCAGAGAAGAGTTTCTCTTTAAGAACGTCTTCATCTTATGTTAGCGTCCATTCTACTACTAACATCTGCACATAACATTTCTTGAGATACATTTTCTTAACAAGCACAACTCTTCAAGTCGTGAAACATCTTGCAACTTCGGGTGTTGCTAGTCGTTCCGCAACTTACAACTGTCCGAATTGCTAATTGTTACACAACTTACTTCTGTCCGGGTTGCTAGTTGTTCCGCGACTTACAATTGTCGGAGTTGCTAGTTGTTCCATAACTTCCAACTTAAAAGCATCTCAAGCACAACATTCCAAGCAGAATATTCCACACAGAATATTCCACGTGGAACACCACAAAATCCCCACGGAATAAGTTTTCCGCAAAATATTTTGACAGTCACACGTTTAACAACTCAAAACGCAAATACGCCTATTATTGCCCTCAACTCTGTAATAGTTTTGACCTAATTTGTTTTCAATATTTTCTATTGTATAAATATTCTGTGACCAGTTGCTCACTCGTTCTTTTTCATTTGGTTTTCGCTTCCTAAATATCTTAACTTCATCTCCTACATTGAGTTCAGGATATACGCGGTTCTTTTTGCCCTTCATCGTTAAATTTA